CATTTTTATTGAGGTACCATGATTTATACTACTGTTAATGATAGTTTTCTGTGCATACATAGTTCCAACACCACACCCACCACCAGAATGGCTGCTTCTCACCAACCAATATTCCAGAGACCCTTCCCTTCCATCCATTCCTCTATACTGGCATTCTTAATAGAATTTTTCTTTTTCTTTTTTTTTTTTTTTTAATTTTGGGCCTCGCCTAGCAGTACTCTGAGGTTACTCCTGGCACTTAGGAATTATTTCCGGTGGTGCTCAGGGGACCATATGGGATGCTGGGGAATGAACCCAGATTGTTCTCTTGGGAGGCAAGTGCTTTACCTGCTGTACCATCCAGAAAATAAAAAAGTCATTGATTAGGATTCCGACCCCACCCCATCTGTTACTCAGGGCTTGCACCAAGCTCTGCCCTTAGGGATCACTTCTGACAAGGCTCAGGTACTATAATCGAGAGCCGGAGAGATCGAACTTGGGTTGGTCATATGTAAGGCAAGCATCTTATCCCCTCCACTCTCTCTCCAGTCCTGGTTAATATATTCTTTTCTCTATGTGTGGATGGGGAGAGGCCACACCCAGCTGTACTCAGGACTTCCTCCTGACTCTGCTCAGGAATCAAACCTGGCAGTGCTCAGGGATCCATAATGGGATGCTGGGGATTGAACCTTGATTGACTGTGTGCAAGGCAGATATCCTCGGACTGTGGACTGTACGTATGTTGCTTCGCCCCCGACCAGGATATTCTCTCTTTTTTTTTTCTTGCCTTTTGAGTCACACCCAGCAATGCACAGGGGTTACTCCTGGCTCATGCACTCAAGAATTACTCCTGGGGGTGCTCAGAGTACCATATGGAATGCTGGGAATCGAACCCAGGTTGGCTGCGTGCAAGGCAAATGCCCTACCCACTGCGCTATCACTTCAGAGCCCCCCCCCCCCCCCCCCCCCGATATTCTTAGGAGATCTAGAGTGACCAAAGTAAGGTGAGCAGGAAGACTCCCTACTGGTGATTTGAAAGGCAAAGGGTATATATATTTAAGGCAAAAGGCAGTTTAAATGTGGGGATACGCTAAGGGATGACATCGCAAAACAATTACAAGTTACACTGGAGGGAGAATAGGTTGACATGAACTTTGATCATATGGCTCCTCATAGAGTTTGTACACTTAACTTTTTTCAGTGTAGGCTTGGCGATCAAGAAGAAACCCATGGTCCAGAGAGAATGTGACAGGGATTAAGGTGCCTGCCTCACTTGTGGCTGATCCTGGTACTGCTAATGGTCCCCAAGCACTGCCAGGAATGACCCCTGTGCACTGAGCCAGGGTAATGAACTTATATGGTGCCAGAGTCAGTTCATGGGTGTGACTGCCAGGCTCTCGAAAGAACGGGGAGATGGGACACTGAGCCAGGCCCAGTGAGTGTGGCCCAGTGTTGACAACCCTCCCTCCCCCCTCCCCAAACAAAAGGAAATCTAAAACAGACTGGTCAAGTATATTATTAGACATTGCTATAGGGCTTCTCTTTAGTGCTACCAAAATTACAGGAAAAGAGGTGTTCCTCTTGTATTTTTTAATTCTGTACATGTCACACAGTTCCTGTTATATTCTTTTATTCTTTATATATCACACAATTATTTTTGCAGAGGTATTCTTTCATTGCAATTTATTTCCCTCTGAGGTCTTTGTAATATATAACCAGAACTTTAAAAATGTTCAGCAATACTAGCTGTTTAGATTGTGCTCCTTTCATAACTAAAATATATTCCTATGTAATTCTTTTTTTGGTTTGTTTTTGGGTCACACCGGCAATGCTCAGGGGTTTCTCTGGGCTCTGCACTCTAATTACTCCTGACAATGCATAGGGGTTATCCTACCCACTGTACTCTCTCTCTCTCTCTGGTCCATAATTCTTGTATATTTGGTTATGTGAGAAAATAAAAAACAAGTTTGTTTTCTTGGTAATGGCGATGATGACTTTTCTGAAAAGGAGTAGCAGAATTAAATGATGAATTATGAATTTGAAACCCATGTAGCGAGGTATCATTTGTTCTTATGACTTAATAAATTTCTAATATTTTATTAATGAAAATGGATTCAAGCTTGAAGTAGACATCCAGTTTTTGAGTTCTATTAAAACTCTTTTCTGGGGGCTGGGGCAATAGCATAGCGGGTAGGGCGTTTTTGCCTTGCACGCAGCCAACCAGGGTTCAATTCCCAGCATCCCATATGGGTCCCCCCCAAGTACTGCCAGGAGTAATTCCTGAGTGCAGAGCCAGGAGTAAGCCTGAGCATCGCTGGGTGTGACCGGAAAAAAAAGGTGGAAAAAAAAAGAAAAAAAAAACCTTTCCCTGTACTGGTGGAGGATGACTGTTCGATCATTGTATGACAGAAATTCAAACATGAAAGTTTTGTAACTGTAGCTCACAATGATTCAGTTAAAAAAAAAATTCTTTCCCTGGAACAACTTGGTGATTTGCTTGTGTATCTGCCCTTAATTTTATTATTAGCATTACTATTTAGTATTTAGTAAAAGCTGACACATGGTAATTACCAAAGGAATTAAAAATGACCATCACAAATACAGGAAGAAGTCATTGAATTGCTGTTGCAGTAACAGAAGATGTAAAGATTTTCTTGTTATAAAAAGTGATTTTTCAGGGCTGGAGAGATAGTACAGTGCTTGCTTTGCACCTAGACACTCGGGTTTGATTCCCTAGCACCCCAAGTGATCTCCCTGAGCCCACCAGGAGTGATCCCTGAGTGCAGAGCCAGCAGTAAGCCTTGAGCACTGTTGGGTGTGGCCCCGAAACAAAAAGTAAATTATCTACTTAACCATGGAAATCTGACCAGATATGTTTAATGGTTGTAGTATTAGACTGCAAGAATTTTTTTTTCTTTTTTGCTTTTTGGGTCACACCTGGCGATGCACAGGGGTTACTCCTGGCTCTGCACTCAGGTGTTACTCCTGGCAGTGCTCAGGGGACCATATGGGATGCTGGGAATTGAACCCGGTTCGGCACGTGCAAGGCAAACGCCCTATCAGCTGTGCTGTCTCTCCAGCCCCTGTGCAAGAATTTTTAAAATTTAAATTTCTTTCCAAACTGAAAGACCAGCTGAGCTGTATTAAAATTCTTATTCTTTTATTTGTTTGGGACTTAACAACTACATGTATTTACGCTTAATTTAGTTTCTTTCTAAACTGAAAGACCAAGTGTGCTGTGTTATACTGCTTACATTGCTTTTTCTTTGGAATTTAACAACTACATATATTTACACCTGATTAGGAATGTATGGGAGAAAAAGTAGTTTAAGTTGTACATAGATTAACTGGAATATAGTGTTTTAGTACTATAGAATTGAAATTAGGTCTCAAAGTGAGGAATTTCCATTTTGTTACTGTTTTTTGTTTTTACTTTTTTTTTTTCTTTTCTGGTTTGTTTTGTTTTAGGTTTTTGGGTCACATCTGGTATAGCTCAGTCATTACACCTGGCAGTGCTTGGGGGACCATATTGGGCATTGAACCCAGGTTGACCATATGCAAGGCGAGAGCCTTACCTGCTGTACTTATCTGCTCCTGTACTGCTCCTCCTTATCTCCTCTTTAATCGCTTCCTTGATTGTGGTTACAAATAGCTTTTCTGTTTTGTTTTTGGACCACAACCAGTGGTGCTCAGGGCTTACTCCTGGTTCTGCGCTCAGGGGTCATTCCTGGCAGACTCGGGACCATATGTGGTGTCAGGGATGGAACCTGGTTTGGCTGTGTACATGCCCTGCCTGCTGTGCTATCTGTCCGGCTCCCTCAAATGTAGCTTTATACAGGCATTTTTATTCCTCCTGATGGATCATTGAGGAATAATTGCTTTTGGAATTTGATGTGAAGAATGCTTCATTGTGGTTTTTAATTCTTTGAAACTTGATTTAAAGTGGATTGATTTGATTATTAGTTTTAAATATTACGAGCATTGAACAATATTATAATAAAGTTTTTGTTTGCTTTTTTATCATGAATTATCCTCTTTAGTGTAAAAATTTAATACAAGATTTTGTGAGAAGTAAGCACAGTACAGCTCATTGTTTTTCAATAAAGTTTTTGTTTGCTTTTTTTTTAAATCATGAATTATCTTTAGTGTAAAAATTTAATACAAGATTTTGTGAGAAGTAAGCACAGTACAACTCATTGTTTTTAATGTTCCTAGGAAGATTTGCTTTCCCAAACGATTGATAATTTGTTTATTTTTTTGGGACTACACCTGGTGGTCCTGGCTTTGTGCTCAGGTATCACTGGTGGGGCTTGGGGGACCATATGGGTGCCAGGGGTAGAATCTGAATCTGCTGTGTGCAAGGAAATTGCCCTACTCGATGTATCATCACTCTGGCTTAATAGTTGATAATGTTTTAGTTCGCTTGTCAGAAGAAGAATTTGTATTACTAAGCCTACATTCTAGTAAATTGTTTCTGTGGATTTTTAAAAACCTGAATTTGTGGTACAGTTTTGGTTGTTCATTGAAAAAAGAATGAAGGGACTGGAGCAATAGCACAGTGGGTAGGGCATTTGCCTTGCACGCGGCCAACCCGTGTTCGATTCCCAGCATCCCATATGGTCCCCTGAGCACCACTGCCAGGGGTAATTCCTGAGTGCAGAGCCAGGAGTAACACCTGTGCATCACTGGATGTGACCCAAAAAGCAAAAAGAAAAAAAGAAAAAAGAATGAAAAGACAAAAATAATCCCTAGTTTAGTTAGGTTATTAATAATTTCAGCATTCACTACTTTTGAAAAGTAATTGTGGGCCTGGAGCGATAGCACAGCAGGTAGGGCGTTTGCCTTGCACATGGCTGACCCGGGTTTGATTCCCAGCATCCCATATGGTCCTCTGAGCACCGCCAGGAGTAATTCCTGAGTGCAGAGCCAGGAGTAACCCCTGTGCATCGTTTGGATGTGACCCAAAAAGTAAGAGAGAAAAAGAAAAAAGAAAAGTAATTGTAATCTTGTTTTTTTTTCAGGGTAATCACTTTGATCAGTATGAAGAAGGACACTTGGAAATTGAACAAGCATCACTTGACAAGCCTATAGAATCGGTAAGATGATCAGTGCTTAATTTTGGGACATAGCTAGTTAGTTAGGTAGTGTTCGTGTGACACTTGATGTGAGTGAAGTTAAACTTATTAATAACTTAAAATACAGGTTAGAGATATTTTCTTGCATGCACTACAGTAAAGGTTTGGGGTGTAACCTAATACATATTGGGAAATCAGTTTTTCAAAAATTTAGAAACAGTTTAGAATTAAACGGAAAATATCATTTTGGCCCATACTGATGCTTTGTTGAAGATAGCAAGTTTAGTGCTTTTGTAAATTGAAAAAGGGAGTAAAATGTATTTTGATCCTTTAAAAAAACTTTTCTTAGCAACATAATTACATTTGTAATGTTCCATAGGAACAATTAATGACTCAATTTATTTACCAGACTCTGGTGTGACATGGCAAATTTGATTTCTGTAGCTTAAGAGATGTCTGGTTTTTGGTAAAAATTGATACTGTTTCTTCACATGGCTAAGTTTTAGACATGAATACAAACCAGTAAAACAAGATTGTTTTCCTGACTTGATTTTTTTCAGTCAAAATTTTATAACCTTTTATTTTGAAGAGTCATTCTTCAAATTACAGTTTATAGTTAAAACTTGTTGATATTGTCAGTATTAAATATTTGTGCTTAAGTGTAAATATTCATCATTGGATTCAATAAGTTATTGGTAAATGAGTGAAAAATGATGTTAAGAGGGAATCTTAGTCTTTATAGCAAAGACCCTTCCCTGCTTAAGAAACACTAGCTGCTTCTGTCTGTGGAAAAGAAGGCAATTTAGAGAAGATAGATGTTATAATCTAGCCCTTATTTTAAAAAACTTAATACAGTAAAGGATCAACATATATTTATGTTCCTAATTAGGTTGGTGTTGTGTGTTTGTGTGTGTGTTTAGATGTTTACAGAAATTTACACAACTTGGGGTGTTCGACATTTTTCTTCCACAGCAGTTGGCCCATATTAGCTAAGCAGCCATGATCTGGTTTGTATTGCACGGTCTGCCTTTTTTTAATTTCTTCTCTAGGGTTTCTTTCTCCCTATTTCCCCTTCTTATTTCTGTTCTTCTGGTCCAGTGAACACTGCATATAGTACCTTCTGTCTTAATGTGCTGGCATGATGCTAGACTTAGGCATGGCAGTAATTGATGACGCATGTGATAATGCTGCAGAGGGAGAATTCACATCTTACCTTGTGCTAAAAAGTCCAGTCTTGTTTTGTCATAAACACCAAGCCCATTTTTCTAAGTTAAAAATCACTGAGTTTTACTCTGTTCTTTATTATCTTGGGAATTAAGTTATCACAAGGCAGAATTTTACAATAAAATCACTAGGCTAGATATGTCAATATTTTGATGCTTGAAAATTTTTTTCAGTTTAAATGTTTCTTTGGGTTAAAACAGAGGTGTCAGAAGCAAGATTCAAAGACCATAGTCTATGAGGTATATTGGTTTTATTCTTGTATAAGCTTTACTTCTCTATGTACTCTGCCTCAGTAGCATGGGATTTAATATGAATTTGCATCCCAAATTTTCATTATTACCACACTCAATTAAGATTTGGGAGCCAGGGATATGGCTCATTGGTAGATCACATGCTTTGAGTATATGAGGCTTTAGTTTTGACCCTCAGCACTGATAAATAAAATTTTAATACGACAAATTAAATGAAGCTAAACTTTTTTTTTTCTTTTTGGATCACACCCAGCGATGCCCAGGGGTTTATTCCTGGCTCTGCACTTAGGAATTACTCCTGGAGTTGCTTGGGGGACCATAAGGCATGCCAGGGATTGAACCCAGGTCAGCTGCGTGCAAAGCAAGTGCCCTACCTGCTGTACTATCTCTCTGGCCCCCAAACTAAACATTTTTAAGGATTCTTTTAGAATTACATCTTAAGGTTTTGTATTTTTGTAAACCATTTCTTTGGCATGTGAGACAAAAAATACTTTATTAAATTCTCACAATGTCCACGATTTCTTTCAGGACATGTAGATGTAACACTATTAGAAGAAAGTTTGAGTAATCAACTCTTTAAATATTTGTGGGTAAGGTGGAATTGATACATACCTTATTTATTTAAAAGTATTCTCTTCTCCACTAAAATAGTAAATGATACAGCACTTTATTTTTATAAATAAGTATATGTATAGAGGTATGTATTTTTATAAATAAGTATGTGTACAGAGCTATATATTGATTATACTTCTAATGAAATTTGCTCTTGAAATAATAAAATATTTACATTGTGATGTGGTAGTTTAGGTAGTGGTAGGAGCTTCATAATATACATTTTATTAGACTTTAAATAGGGTACGTGAGATGGGAGGGATTTTATTTATGTTTTCTAATATTTAGATATGCATTTAAAGTTAAAAAAATTATAAGGACATTTCTAAAATTGGCATCAGAGTAGATACTATGCCCATCCCTATTATTCCCCCTGAAAAATTCACTGTCACTTAAGGAATTCCCAACAAAATACATAAATGGTAGTTAAATGACTGGCTGTCTATATTGAACTATCTGGTTCTAAGGGGAAACTGGTGTTGCTTCTTAAACACATAGTCTCTGCTGAACTAAAATCTTTCTCTGCAGCAATATCTAATGAGAGGTGCTGACTGTTTTGCTACAGCATGCAACTCAAGTGGCTGGAAATAATGCAGCTTTGGGAGTCTACAGATCATTGCAGGAGCTAAAGGTTTAGTTTTTTTGTTTTTTGTTTTTAACAAAGGTAATCTGCAACAGCTGGTAATCCTTGGAAGTGTCTGCATAGGTTTGTGCCAAGAATATGCCTGTTTGAGGGTTATTGTGAGTATAGGATTAAGTCTTTTTATTTTTCAATAGGGTTATTTTGTTGCAAACTGACAATATGGAAATGAGGTGCAAAGATGAATAATATATAAAACTTTTAGTAAACTTCAGAGGTAGGTGTAGTTTAGTTAGGAGATTGTAAAAATATTTCTATTTCAGTTAGCAAATGTTAACACGTTTAAGCATTTGTAAAATATTTTATAATTGTTATAAAGTTTTATTTCCCTCTTATTTCAACTAACCAAATAACTTTAAATTTTTGATTAAGAAGACACTGTTCAGGGGCCAGAAAGATACAGTATAGTGAGTAAGGCTGATCCCAGGACCCTGGTCATCTCATCTGATCCCCTGAGCATCTGCCAGGAGTGATCTCTTAGCATTCCCAGTCCCCCCCCCCCAAAAGGAAAAAATAAAACCCAAAATAAAACAAAACATTGTTCAGGGGCCAGAGAAATAGTGGATAAGACACTTGCTTACCTTGGGGGTGACTGACTCGGTACGCCATATGGAGTGATCCCTGAGCACAGAGCCAGGAGTATGCCTTGAACACTGCTGGTTGTGACTGAAAAGCCAGAAGGAAAAAAATAGACTTTTAAGAAAATTATGAAAAGAATTGTCAGGTAGTTTGATTACTGAATTCAAGAGGAGAGAGAACAATATATTAACATATTATTATTATTACCAAAAAAGGTTTTTGGAACTTAAATTTTAAGTTACTGCTTTCTGAGATTTTAGGTCCTAGACTTTTTGTATACATATATAAAGATAAAATATTTATCAAATGAGGGACCAGGGAGACAGTGCAGCAGGTTAAGTGCTTACCTTGCATGCAACTGACCCGAGTTTGATTCCATGCCCCACATCTGTTCCCCAGAGCCTCTCCAGCAGTGATCTGTGTGTGCAGAGCTGGGAGTAAGCCCTGAATAATGCAGGTGTAGCCTAAAAAACTAAGAACAGTGATCTGATCCAGGCTAGTATTCTATGAGTTCCAAGAATGACGTGTGATTTGGGATATATGATCCTTTATGATCTTTACTGTAGGAAGTCAAAAAATCAGAGGGGAGAATAATTGAACTATATTGAGAACAGATTCCTCCTCATAGACTTAAAACATTTTGTCAGTGTTGCATTTGGAAGTATAACTACTCATCGGTCATTAGTTGTTCTTCGTTCTACCTGACTCATTAAAATCCTGTCTTTATAGTTGTCAGGTTGACTGAACTTTAAAAATTGAGCTTTCTAAACTTTAGTTGCTGATGTTTAGTTTTTACTCACTTAAGGATTTAAATATGTATGTATAATTGGGTTTTGTCACGTTGCATATCTGTTTAGATCTGTGGACTCCACTAGTTCCAAACTGTAACTGTAAGACTGCTGATTTGACACTCCGCAGTGACCACATGTGTACTGCTCTATAAATACTGTGCTTCTTGGAGCTGAATGGTGTAGCATTACTATGTGGCTTTTCTCTAGTCTTCATTGTGTCATCTGTAGTGAGCTTAGATTTTTGTTTTGGGAATTTTTACAACTTGTTTGCATGGGTTCATCTGGTAGCATTTGGTTTTTGCTTATAAAGTCTCTTAATACACAGTCAGCAAAGCTTACAATCCACTCAAGAGACTTAACATTTTTTCACTGTTGATATGGGATAAATTAAGTGTGGCTGTCAGCTAAAAGAAAATTCCGTGTGGAATTCGTATTAATCCAATTACTGACATAAGTGTATATTGTCTTCTCAGTATGTTTTATTTCCCGGTATAAAAGCTTGGAATTGGTCCTAAGAGATAGTTCAATGGGCAGAGAGCATGCTTTGCATGTTAGATCCCTGGCACCACACATTCCCCCAGTTTGACCAGAAGTGCCCTCACACACAAAGCCAGGAGGAGCCTCTTGGCACTATTGATGTGGTCTAACAAGAGATAAAATAAGAAGCCCTATACAATAAAGTGATTTTTATCTATGTTTTGGCAGGCTCTAGCCTGTGTCTTAAATACAGGTAGATAGTACTATTGCCAAAATGGTCATTGTAACTGTGATAGAGCAAAGTTTCTGTGAAATTTTATTACTGGATATCAACAAATAAAAATGTTGAAGCATTAAATGAAGTTTTTTTAGGTGATGATAATGTGCTTTCAGCATATTGATATTTGTTTATAATACACATTTCCTGTTTTTAAAGATACTCCATTTATATTTTTACTTTTGGGGGTTGGGGATTGAACCCAGTGCCACAGCTGTGTGTTTTATTTATTTATTTAAATGTAGGAGCACTGCTGTTTATTCAGCCATTGATTGAATTGGACATGAACTCCACATTATTTATTTGAATTGGATATCCATGAGATAGACCATTACAAAGCGCCACAGATGTTTAAAGCATGCACCCTCAGTCCCTCAAAGATTTTTTTCCAATTTGAAAATTATATCCTTTTTACACATATAGTACAGGGAAACAAAAGATAAAATGCAGTGCTTAAATTATCACTGATGTTTAAATATAGGGACAAAGGAATTACCATCTGAGGTAAAATAGTTGGAAAAAGTGTGGGCTTTTCAGCTTTTTCATGGTTAACAAGAATTTCATGCTCAAAGAGAATGTCACACCATTTTAGACTCTAAAATAGTAGGTTGTGTTTTTGCTACCTCTGTTAGGTAAAGATTAATAATTTTAGAAACTACTTTTATTTATTTTTGATTTTGGGGGTCACATTCAGTGGTGGTCAGGACTTACTCCTGGCCCTGTGCTCAGGGATCACTCCTGGCAAGACTCAGGAAACCATATGTGGTGCCAGGAATCAAACTGGGGTTGGACATGTGCAAGGCAAGCATCCTACCTGATGTACAATATCTCTAGCCCCTGATAATATTTTAAAAATTAGTATTTTATGTGCATTTAAATTATAGTCTCTATAGTCTCTATCATTCCTTATTCATGAGTCAAACTGGACAAAAGGGACTTTGTTTATCTAGGCCTCCCCAACAGTCCTTGGCTGTGTTTGGGGACGGGGGGGTTGAACTCAGTGCCTCATGCAAGCCAGGCATACATCCCAGCCTTTGAGCTATTTACCCAACCCCCCCTTTTTAACTTTTTTTCCTTCTGTGAGATTATAAGCCCCATTTGTATGTTTTATTTAAAAATAAGCTATTTTTCAGTCCTTAAAGTAGTTGTGAAGCATGATAGGGCTTTTTTGTCTTGAGGCTACACCTGGCATGCTTATGGGTTATTTCTGGCTCTCAGGAATTAGTCCTGATGGTGCTTGGGGGACCATATGGAATGCTGGTGATTGAACCCAAGTTGGCTGTGCAAGGCCAGCACCCCTACCTGCTGTACTATTTCTCTGCCCCATGGTAGTTTTTTTTTTAAATGAAACTTAGATGTGAGGGAAGAGGAAGAGGGGATGTACATGTTCAAGGGAGAATGCAGGCTTGAAGAACAAGCCAATGGTTACTATTTTAAAAATAAATTTAATTTTTATTTCCTTCTATGTTGAGATTACCTGTTTGGTATATAAATTATGCCAATTCACTGCTTTCTAAATGATAGCCATAGAAATAATTGGCAAAGTCATAGTCCTACACAGAGACTTTTATTACTTGAATGGGTTGGATGTTTTGTACTTGTTCTTTCACAAGTCTAAGTTTAATAAAGATTTTATTTTTATCATTTTAGAGTCAAAGGCTGCTTTCTTTCTTCTACTTACATGTTATAAGGTATTTTGGTGTGCCTTTCTCTTTGTACCCATTATCCTTAAACCTTTTGGAATTTTGACCAGTGTTGATAAAATGTCCTTTTTTCAGTAGGAAAGGGGAGCACACTAGCTTTCTGCAGTCACCACACTGCTTTTTCCCTCCCAGAGCAGGCTGTCTGAAATAATGCGGAAGGGCCAGATTTTCTGTGAGTCATTCACATAGTCTAGGAAGTGGGTGAGCAAAAGGGGTTCTGGAAAATACATACTTTAAAAAAAAAATTAGAATGACAAGGACACAAAATGGCATTATTTTAAAGTATGGATGGGGCTAGAGATAGAATCAAGGAGGTATGTCCTTGTGTGTGGCTCTAGTGGCTGCGACGCTGGGTCAGATCCTCAGCACCACACGGACACCACAGGCTGTGGCTTGAAGGCCCCACTCTCCACAATGACAATTTTAATGTAGTCTCTTTCATACTTGGAAATACATTCCCTACTCATACTTGGAAAAGTATATTTAAGGAATTATTTTCACCTTGATTTCAGAGAACCAATATTCACCATCACTTTGAATCAAAAGTATTATTGCAGTGACAGCCGGCCATCTTGAGTGGTTTTGTAAAAGTGGTGCTAATGTGTATGATTCTGAAATTTTCTTTTCCTTCCTCTCCCTTTAACATTTGCTTTATCTTTCACTGTTGTCAATCATAACACACTGCTCTTGAATCTCTCAGCTGGTCTTGACTCATGAATTTACTTATGCTTTCACTCTTCTTTAATAAATACATTAATTGCAAGCAGTGAATTGAAAACAAGACAAAAGAAATCGACCATTAGTGATTGGACAGTTTCTTACTTTGTGTTACATTTAACTGTTCTTTTGACAGCCCAGTTTTTAAAGCCAGGTTCGTATGGAAATGCTTCACTCCACTTGCACTGCTTTTGGAAATAGCGTACTGCTTCATCTGTCTGTTTATTTTAGTGCATTCATAATGTAACAGTCAGCATAATGTCTCATCTCCACTTAACCAAAGATTGAGTGTTCTTAATCAAATTAAAGGGGGCAACAATTTTTGTCAGCATAGTGTACTGCCCCAAATCCATGGCAAGTATACTCGTAACATTAGTCTTTTAATAAAGATTATAAATAATAATTTACATGATCTTAGAGTTATGCTGCTGTCCTTGTCCTTTCTCTAGTTATTTAGGTTGTAAATACAGGTAAGTTAATTTTCTTTGTAGCATAACAAAATTCTCTTTACTGTTTTGTTTTCTGTTAATGTTATTTGTATTAATACCATAATTTAAAAAAATGAAACTTATGGCTAGGTACTAAGATAAGAGGATGCTTTTATGAAGATGAGAGTGATAGTGCAGAGGGTAGGGCATTTGCTTTGCATACTGCCTACCTGGGTTCGATCTCCGGCAACCCTTATGGTTCCCTAAACCCACCAGAAGTGATCCCCTAGCACAGCCAGATGTGGCCCCAGAATAAAACAAAAGACAGTACTTGGGGCTGGAGCGATAGTACAGCAGGTATTTGCCTTGCACATGGCCAAACGAGATTCGATTCCCAGCATCTTATATCGCCCCTCAAGCACTGCCAGGAGTAATTCCTGAGTTTATGAGCCAGTAGTAACCCCTGTGCATCGCTAACTGTGACTCAAAAAGCAAAAAAAAAAAAGACAATACTTTTACAGACCATGAAATTGGGAGAAAATATTGGGAAGAAGAGACAAAGTGGAAGGTTGTTTTTTTTGGGGGTGGGTGGGTTTGGGTCATACTCAGCGATGCACAGGGGTAACTCCTGGCTTTGCACTCAGGAATTACTCCTGGCGGTGCTCAGGGGACCATATGGGATCTGGGAATCGAACCTGGGTTGGCCGCCTGCTGTACTATCACTCCAGCCCCCAAAGTAGAGTTTCTGTGATACTGAAAGTCATAATAGAGGATCACACATAAGCATAGTCCTCTAATCCATTTTCTAGCAAGAAATAATTTCTACCGAGCTGTAACCGAAGTTCCAGTGCCATCTCTCCACCAAAAGGACCTCTCTACTGTTTGCCTCTGTGTGTGTGTGTGTGTGTGTGTGTGTGTGTGTGTGTTAGTGAGGGTCTAACACAGGACTCTACCCTAGTCACATCCCCAGGGATTTCCTACCCTTTTTATTTATTTTTGTTGTTGTTGTTGTTGTTTGGGGGTCACACCTAGAGATGCTCAGGGTTGACTTACGGCTCTGCACTCACTCAGGAATCACTCCTGGCAGTGCTCAGGGGACTATCTAGAGTGCTGAGTATCAAACCTGGGTCAGCAGCGTGCAGTGCAAGTGCCTTACTTGCTGTATTTTTCTCTCTGGCCCCTCTCCCTACTCTGTTTAACTAAGCCAGAACATTGGAGACCTCTGATCTTAAATTGTCAGAAAATATACTTTTGGGGGCTTAGAGATAGCATAATGGGTAAGGCCCTTTATGTAAACGTTAAACGCAGCTGACCTTACACACAGCCGACCAGCATTCAATCCTCAGCATCCCATATGTTCCATAAGCACTGCCAGGACTGGTCTTGAGCGCAGAGCCAAGAGTAAACCCTGAGCATTGCTGGGTGTGGCTCCAAGGCAGCAACAACAACAAAAACCACCAATTTTTTGTCTTCTTCTATGACTCCAAAGAGCATTTAAATATGGAACTGAAAGAAATGCAGTTTAATTTTAGATAGTTGAATTTAATTCAGAGATTTATAGCTCTGTGTGTGTGTGTGTGTAACAAGATAATTTTATCTAATGACTTGAGGGGAAAGAAAGGGAATATTGTATGTTCAGGAGAGCATGGACTTCGGAGTGGGAAAAGCTAGCAGAGAGACATAGAAGTAAGCAAGCGAGAGTGTGGGCTTGAAGAGCAAGTTTTTTTAATTGTTTTTTTTAATCGACTTCAGCAGATAGATTTTGGTGGTGTCAGCTAATACTATAAATTATGTTATAGTATCTGTTGAACACCATGTTATAATTTTAAAATATTTTCCTTTGGACAGGAAATCATTTTATCTGATAATAGTTCTTTTAACTATGTCTCAGTACCTCACAGCATTTGTAAACATCAAAGAACTGGACAAAGGTCTGCAGAGACTTCTAAGATACTGAAAAAGCTGACATTTAATTGTTGCCTCTGATGTGTTTTCATACAACTTGCATTGAATACCTTTTCCAATGTGCTTCTAGGAAGATGAGACATTATGTATATTGGTTTTTTCCTCCCTACATGCACTAATGGTTCTTTACTGTTAACTTATTGCTAGGCCTGTTTCATTCTAACATTTTAGCATTTTTGTTAGATTACATGTTGAAATGCATCACTCAGTCTGTGCTTGAGCTCATTTTATTTTTCTGTTTAATCAGTTTAATTTCTTGTTTTTACTAACCTCACTGTTTTTTCAGTTTAATATTGGCTGCATGCTAGTTAAATATTTTTATTATATATGTATATATTTTTTAAAATCAATCAAGTCTAGCCTGGATTTTGCTCTGATTGTGTTTTCATTTGTAGGGGTGGGGGAGCAGTCTTACACTTATAACTTAATTTGTATCATGAAAACCTGACACATAAATAAGATAACACTATGTAGATTTTCTTTTTAAAAAATCTTTTAGTGCTGTCTAGGTGGTGGATATGATTGTATAAAAATCTTGATTTTATGCTTTTTAAACTTCATAAATGTATTTTACCCCCTTTCCCCTTAGTTTTTTTCTCCTTTTAAAAGTGTTACATACAAAAGTTGCCCAGCACATCATCGGAAAGGGCCCTTCCCGCTCCCTTACGTTCTTCCCATATAAAATGATAGCTAGCATTTCCTTTTACCTTAATGTCCCTTATATTATTAGACACATTGACCCTATTGCACCTTTTGCATGCATATATGTAGAATTATCTCTTGTTCATCACCTGTTTATATGTCACTAGGAAGGGAAGAATATATTATTGGAATATTTTTGGTTTCTCTCTGTTCTGTCTGTCAGGATAATATTGGACATCGCTTACTCCAGAAACATGGGTGGAAGCTGGGCCAGGGATTGGGAAAATCTCTACAGGGTAAGTTTTTTACATGTTCTCCCCGCCCCCCTCCCCCCAAAAAAAGGAAAGAAAAAACTGTTTCTGATGAAGATCTTGTGCCTAAATGTTTGTTGTCTTTTTAAAAAAATCTGGTTTTCCCCTGCTTTCCCTCCCTCCCCTAGAATAGTCTATTTTCCTATAACTGTATTTTGAATCACTCTTAAGCTAATAATTTGCAAGAGTAAGCTGCTGTGTGTGTCATGAAAACGTATAACATGTGGGTCAACCTGTTTACATTTTTCTCATGGAGGTGAATGGTGGGTGGAATAAAAGAAATATGTAGTATCAGGACATGCTTTCTTTGTCATTTCGGGATTACAAAGCGAACCATTCAATGGCAAAATTTAATTTTTGCCTTCCCAAATTCTCCCTTACCTTAGTGATTGCTTTGTATTTTTCTCTGTAGTCAGAATCCATATAATACTAGAGAGAAAAATGAACCCATCTGAAACATAATGGAAGCAGAGATTTCCTCATGCTCACTGAGCAGAGACCACTTTCGGGTTCAGACCAGACTATGGAAAATGAATGGTTTGAGCTGTTCCTGCTGCATTTATTTTTTCTTTATACTAATCATTTGCATAAAAGCAATTGCTAATACACCTGCTTTGTAATTCTTATTTGTTGGAAACCAGCCAACTCCATTCACCTTTTTGCTTCCTTGCATTCAAGAGCTACTGTTTTTTCTTTTGAAGATATTAACTCAGAAGTGGGAGCTTGTCTGCTTCTGGTGATGGACAGAGCTTACTATATCCAGGGACCTCTGGGGGAGGATTGTGCTTTTGTTGACTAGTTCTTTGAATTTTGGAATTGGATTTCTATAATTTGAATGGGAAATCCATTCTTTCAAGTCAAATGTTTGTGTATGTTAAGGATGTTTTGTATGTGTAGATGATAGAACAAGAAGCAGGGTGTTTCAGTTTTTAAAATCTTTGCTTTTTTTAATTATACTTCTATAAATTGTAATCAGTGGTGACATAAGAAGGTGCGAAATACATTTACTTCAAATTATTACTATGCATTAGTCTATTCTTTGAGAGAGTTAGATTTGATTACATGTAAATTAGTTTTCCTAGTGGCACAAAGAGTCAAACAATAAAAGAATATAATAATACAACAATTAAGAACAATTTGTTTTCTTTTTTTTCCTTTTTGGGTCACACCTGGCAATGCACAGGGGTTACTCCTGGCTCTGCACTCAGGAGTTACTCCTGGCGGTGCTCAGGGGACCATATTGGATGCTGGGAATCGAACCCGGATTGGCCGCGTGCAAGGCAAATGCCCTACCCGCTCTACTATCTCTCCAGCCCCCACAATTTGTTTTCTTTAGACCAGAGGTTGCCAGACATTTGACCTACTCCACCTTTTCAGAAAAAGGTTGGTGCCCCCCAGTTATACCCAAGGCTACTACTATCTCCCTATCTTCAATAATTTATTTACACTGGAAACTTTAGACCTTAGGTTTTATAGGTCCAGAAAAGAATTAGATAGGTACTCAGGACTGAAAGAGAATCTTGAGAGAGTTTGTTTCAGTGGTTTGTTTACATAGACATACACGTTTGCTTGAAATGAATGGAAGTGCTCGCTCAGAAGAAGGTCGAGAGCCTGGATCTGACCTTTCCCTGTGGTCTGAAACATATCTGTTCAGATTCCAGGGTACTATGGATCATCTCTTTGGTCCTTCACAGAAGGAAGTCAAACTTTAGGGCATTTCCTAATGGCTAGAAAATGGTTTGAATCTAAGAAGTTTCCGTTGTAAGTACGTGAGGTGTGCAGATACAGTGAGTGCCAGTGCCTGCTTCAAAAGAGAGAAACGGATATTCACTGACTTTGGAGTGATGAGGAGTTATTTTAATCTGAGAATATTTAAGCATTTTTGGTCTTTTTTTTTTTCATTTATTCGCCTTTTCCCTACCCCTGTCCTCCTCGTGAAGACTGGCTGCAGTGAGTAGCGGTCACACATACTTGCTGTGTACCTGCACATGTTGGTGGCACTGCTTTCACAAACTAAAGTGTACTGGAGACCACACATTCTCTTGGGGTGCCAAGGATCCAAACACGTCACAGGCATCTGACTTGGGGCCTCACACTGGCAAAGCAGGTCCCTTGCTATCTGTGGGTCCTTACAATATTGTCCTTTTTAAAATCAGAGATCCTTGAAAAGAGAAGACTCATAAACTTTATTTTAAATACATGGGAAATTTGCAACCCAGTTCTAGCATCCATCTCCCCTTATTTAAGAAAGAGCATAAAAACACAGATCTACCATCTTACAATTTATTTGACTTTTTTAAAGTGTTTTTTTTTGGGGGGGTGTGCTGGAGCAATAGCACAGCAGGTAGGGCATTTGCCTTGCACGCGGCCAACCCGGGTTCGATTCCCAGCATCCCATATGGTCCCCTGAGTACCGCCAGGAGTAACACCTGAGTGCAGAGCCAGGAGTAACCCCTGTGCATTGCTAGGTGTGACCCAAAAAGCAAAAAAAAATTTTTTTTTGGTTTTAATATCACACCCAGCTGTGCTCAGGGGTAATTTTTGACTGTATTGGGGACCATATGCTATTGAACCCAGGCCTTCTACATGCAAAGCATGAGTTCAGCCCACAGAGTTGAGTTCTCTCACCTGTCCTTAATAACTTCTTTTTTTGTTCGTATGTTTGTTTGTTTGAATCATATCTGGCCATGCTCAGGGGCTTTTACTACTGGCTCTGTGCTCAGGAATTATTTTTGGTGGTCCTTGGGGATCTTACGGGATGCTGGGCATCAAAAGTGGATTAGCAGCTTGCAAGGCTGTAAATCGTGCAGTATGTAATACACCATAGTCCATGTATTATTGCCACAGCCCATTAACTCCGTGTGTGTGTGTGTGTGTGTGTGTGTGTGTGTGTGTAGCAAGATAGGATTTATTAAAACTTAAAAAGATGTGAGGGGAGAGAACGGGAGAAGTAGGTATTCAAGAGAGAACACTGGCTTCTTGAGAAGCATGCAAAGAAACATTGAGAATCAAGAAATATGTATTCAAGGGAGAACACTGGCTTGAAGAGCAAGTCCCTAATTAACTATTTTTAAGTGTATAATTTACTATTGTGCAAATCTGCCCTGTTTGAACTGCTAAGTACAGTTTGTTTTTAATTTAATCACCGTGCATTGCAAAGTTAGTCATGATTGGGTTTCAGGTTCCAACCAGTCCCTTCACCAGTATCCATTTCCCTCTGCCAATGACCCCAGTTTTCCCTCCTGCCCCGAGCCTGCCTCTATCTCTGGCACTTTTTTTTTCCCTCTTAGGCACTGTGGTTTATAATACTATTATGGACAGGGTATCATACATATCATACATATCACTTTTCCTCCTTAGAGCACATAGTCCTCATCTAGAGTGACCCCTTCTCTCTATCACTATTGTAGTGGTCCCTTCCCTGACCTCACTTATCCCCCACCCCACCCCCCACACACACAGTGTCAAGATTCCTACTTAATGACCAGTTGTCCTGATGTTCCTTTCTACTGTCTTTGGGAATTAGTTATTCACCTACTATGTTTATGTCCTTCATATGAGTGAGGTCACGGAAAGTACAGTGTTTTAGCCTTTACAAAGAAAGGAACTTAATTGCCAAAGCCAACTTCAGTTGTCTTATAAATGGCTTTTTTATTTTTTACTTTCAGGTTCAACAGTGTGCCAGTGAAACCCTGGTTTCTCTTAGATAGCTTTTTCTCCAATAATAGCCACATAATTTGTGATAAGTATAGTCACTTTTATGGCACAGAGATATGATTCATAACATTTTTTTTCATTGTACCAAACTTTTGCTCTAAATAACCACTAAAGAATGCCCTAATAAATGTTGTAACTACTCCTTAGTATTGCGTAGCTTAGTCACTACATGCAGCTTCTGGGCTTTGTAAATTTTGTATTTGCTAGTTCATTCTCAACTTTAGTTTTTTTTGACTATAGATATAACATAAAAGTTAATTTTAATAATCTCTTCTGGATTTTTGGTGGAAGTTTAAAATTTATTTTTGACTCATACTAGATTTTTACAAATGGTGCCCAGTCCTTGGGGCTTTCCCATATCTTGATACTGGATAGATTAGGGAATAGAGCATGCTGATTCGGAAACAAAATTGTCTTTGGCAGAATATAACATAGTCACTTGTTACTTGTTATCCCATTAATATTCCATTTGCCAGTTCATATAACATAGTAAGGTGGGTTTAAATTTATACTTGGATTTACTTAGTATTTTTAAGAATGGTTCAGAAGCTAAAAGTGTAGGGACTGGAGAGAAAGTAGACTGTGTATGCATTTTGCACTCAGCCATCCTAGTTTCATTCCCCAGCATCCCGTATGGGCCCCCAGGCCCTACCAAGAGTGATCCCTGAGTGCAGAGCCAGGAGTAAGCCCTGAGCGCCCCAAAGTATAGCCAAAACTAGTATGTTATTTATATGTGTATACATAATTTATGTATTTGTGTATATATGTAGATATACGTATATGTATAACTTTTATTGTATGTGCAGATAAATGACTTGGTATTTTTGAAAAAGAAAAAATGAGGGCTGGAGTGATAGTACAGCAGGTGTAGACCTTACACACGGCTCACCTGGGTTCAGTTCCTATCCCCTCATATGGAACCCCTGAGTACTGCCAGGAGTAATTCCTGAATGCAGGGCTAGGAATAACCCTTGAGCATCACAGAGTGTGTCTCAAAGCCCTCCTCCCCCCTAAAAATACAAAAAATATAGTTAGATGAGATAGGAAGGAAACAGACTAGAAAAATAACACCTATAGAAAAGATGGCTGACCAGGTCCTTGAAAAATACAAAGACAGGCCAGTGGTTAAGAAATAGTGTGGATAGTTACTTGCTTTAGGGGCAGTCAATATGCTGCATGGTGAATGAGAGTGGTGTTTTGTTTTGTTTTGTTTTGGGGCCACAGCTGGCAGTCCTCAGGGTTTACTCTTGGCTATGCACTCAGGGATC